AGAGTCATGCTCCACAGACTAAGCCAGCCATGCGATGCAATTTAAACATTCTTTACCATATATTAGTTAATTTAGTTTCATTCTTTGTATGCTAATGATTTCAAATCTATCCTGTTCTCGCCTTTATTGTCTATTCAAAATTTAACCAGAATATTTTGTCATTCTAGAGGCCAAGTTTCAGGGGATAGGAGGGAAGGGAGATTCTGAGGCAGGCCTCTCTATTCTGCCTTTAGGCATTTGTAACCTAATTCAGACCACCGTCTCTAAGCTTTTAAATCCTCCATTATTCAGTAGTTAAGCAGCACAGTAAGAAACAAGAAGTTGGGATGAGTCTTCCATAACACAATTCCTTACCTTCCAAGAAGATATCCTCAAGGGATTCCAGGACTTTAGCGAAGATCCTGCAAAGTATTAGAGGGAAAAGTTAGAAACCCTTTGAGTGGGAGAGGATCTCAGAGACTTGCTATTCCATACCTTCGTTATATAGTTTGTGTCCCTGCAACCCCGGGAAGAGTAGTGGCTGCCATTTACGGGGCATCTATGTGATTTACACAAATTCTCATTCCCTTTGTAGGCTAACTGGTAAGGCTGGAGTCATTATCCTCACATTACATATTAGAAAACCGGGACTGAGAGAGGCTACGGAAATTGCTCAGAATCACACAACTAGTAAGTGAGGGAGCCCGGGTTTGATTTCAAGTCAGACTCCTAAGCCACTCTTTCTACTCCTCATTACCACTTACTAAGGATCACATGGGAACTTAGTAGCAAAACAAGGATTAGAACCAAGGTCTAGACCCCCAGTCTGACCCTTCTACTGTCTTCTGCTCTAGGTTTATAGGGTAATTTCAGGAATCCAACATAGGACAAAGGCATAAAATAGCAATTTACATAAGGAACACAAAAAAAGTGTACCAACACATGGAATAAAAAGATAGCCTTACCAGTGATTAAATAAATACAAGTAACTGATAAGTAGTTATTTTTCCCCTCAACCTAATAGCTCCCAGTGTTAATGAGATTGTGGTAAAATGATTTTCCGCCAATGGTGGTGTAAGATGGAGGAACCTTTGCAAAGCCTTGTGACATGCATATCAGGGGCCCTAAAAATGGTCACCACCTTCAACCCTATACTTTGGTTTCTGGAAATTATTCAAAGAAGCAATCGAACGGGAAGAAGGAAAAAAGGACCCTAGATGCACAAACATGTTCATTGCAGTGTTGTCTATAATTGTATTTAAAAATTATAAAAATAAAAATAAACAATATAAATATTCTTTATTTTGAGCCAAGGAGAACCAATTAGATATTATTTTGATTATTTTGAACCATAGAGAAGCAATTAGATAATGTTATATGGACTCAGCATATGGTATTGTGGAACCATTTAGAAGAATTCCTGGGAGTGTGAGGTAGTATGGAAATATTTATGCTATTATGATGCGAGCTAGAAGATAGTAGGATACAGGCATATTATAATCGATCTGTGATAATGTATTTTGCTATCGACAAAACTGAAAGGTAGCATACAAAAAAAATGCTCTTTCCATTTAGGGGCATTATGGGTAACCTTTTTTCTTTTTCAAAGGTTTTTTGTTTTTTTGTTTTTTGTTTTTAATGTTGATGTCATATTCCTTCTATTGTTTAGAAGAATGAGGTACAGCAACCCGTACAGGGAGTTCAGGCTCTGGACTGAGCGGTAAAGGACCTGAGTTTGCTTCTTTTTTTCCCAACCTGGCATGCATTATTGGCCTTCAAAAACCTCAACCTCTCAGTCTACACAATGGGTTATCGTTAGTTTCCTTTATGCCAGATGGACAGAATGTTTATTTCATAAATCTCTGGACACACTGAATGCAAGGGCTCCCATAAATATCGTAGGAGGAAGAGGAAGAGAGATATAGGCACTAACTAATTTTAAAAGGAAAGATCACCAGCTTTAATCGGAAACGCGGATGGGCTGTGCCCCCAGCCGGAGTTTTAGGTGCGCTCCATGCTAGTTAGCAACTTCAGCTGAAAGTGGTACCATGGGATCCTCCAGGTCTTGAAGATACGAAGCCTACATACGCATGCACACACGCATGCACGCACGCACACACGCACACACGCACGCTAAAATTACCACATAGTCACGAGGCTGTGTGCGCTGCGAATCATTAAATGCACGAAGCAACCCCAGCTGATGGGTTGACGATGCGTAAGGGTAGTGCGGAAACCACGTGACGGGGAAATGACAGGACGTTTGGAAATGATGGTTTCATTTCCCAGCTTTCTTTTCAGCTGGCGCTTTCTCTTTCAGCCATTACAGGCGGGCAAAAGAGGTTTGATTATCTTGTTTCCCGTGAAAGGTTATTTAGCTCCTCAACCCCATTAAGTCACTTTCTGCCCTCCAGTGCACCCAGCCTTCACCAGGTTATCAGCCCAGGAAGAGTAAATGGAGACACCAGGATCAGATTTCTAAGGGAAGAAAAGTTAAAGCAAAGTTTGAAAGGGGTGACAGCCAACAGCCAGGAGCTTAGGAACTCAATTAGACTGAAAGACAACTATCTCATTATCTCGTTCCGAAATGATCTAAATACATAAGAATCTAAAAGTTTTAAATAAACTTGTCCTCTTGACTGTCTAGATGACTGAATTTCCCTTCTCAAAAAAATTTTAAACACCCACTTTCGTATTTATTTATTCTAAGTGCGGAGCAGCTGTGATAATTATGCTGTCAGATTCAGTAAGCTAATGAGGAGTCAGTCAAATGGAAGGTTTTGCATCTGTGAGATTGCTGCGGGAGAAAAGCTCTGCTGCCTTTTCCCTTCTCTCTTTTTCTTTCTTTCTTCTTCTTCTTCTTCTTTTTTTTTTTTTTTCCTTATTTTTGTTTCTTTTTCTATGAGTCGGAAGGAGAGTCGGGCCTTCCAGGACAAACTGGAATCCCTTTGATTAACTGGTTGCTTTCCCAACACTGTTCCACCAGAGAATTTCTCCCTTTTTTCCCTCTCCCTCTCTCTCTATCTTCCCCACTCCTTCTCTCTCCTGCTCTCCCACTCCCTCTCTCTCTCCCCCCCTTTCCCCATCTTTCTCTCCCTCCCTCTCTGTCTCTCATTCTGTCCCCACCACCCAAATTCCCTTCTTTCTCTCTTTTCTTTCTTCCCCTTCTCTCTTCTCTTTTTCTCTGCCTTCAGTTCCTCCTCCTCCTCCTTCCTCTTCCTCTCCCCTTCTTCCCTACGCCCCCCACACACACCCTTTTCCCCTCCTTCCTTCTCCCTCTCTCCCTCCTCCCTGGCTTTTGAGGTGCTGCTGCTTTTGAGGGACAAGGAGGCCTGAGGGAAATCTTCCTGCCACTGCCCCCCAAGGCAAGAGGACCCCTCTCCCTGAGGGAAATTCCCAAACTGGTTTGGGTTTGAGTTGATCTGAGAGTGGTCTGTGAAGTTTACACACTATTTACTTTAGCTGTTTATTTATGCTATGACATGAGCGAGAAAAAAGTAGAATACAAAATTATAATGTACCTGTGAAAATGTATTATGCACACCAACAAAACTTGATGCCTCCCCTTTAAAGCCCAGCAAATGTGTAATTCCAAACCCAAGGACTCCAGGCCCCAGACTCCTCATGGCGTCCAAGGCAGGTGTCCAGGTGAAGGAAGACAGAGATGGCCCTGCTCGTTTGTTTCTTCTCTTTGGGTGTGAGCAGCCTCCAGCTAACAATATTATGAAGGCATCTTGTGCTTTTGGTGTGCCAAAGCTGGACGCTTCTCTTCCTGTCCCGTTGTGCGATTTGTAGAGCGCTCCCGGTCCGTGCAGACTGTGAGCCTTGGAAAAGCAATGCCCAAATGAAAAGAAGTCCTCAGTAGGTTTGCAGACGAGCTTTGGTGACAATGTGGCTGTTTTTCCCAGATGGCATCAATGCAGATGGCTTGGAACAAAGGCTACGAGTTGCTAAAATATATTGTGTGTCAAGAGCAACCCAAGATGTTTTGAATATATTATCTTCTTTAAACTTACAGCAATCTGCGGGAAGTTCTACTATCCCCATTTTGCAGATAAGCTCCTTAAAACATTAACTTTGAGAGAGCTTGACCTATAATTTTAGTGTAGTAAGCACCCAGGAACAACACACACTTAAACACAGGCATCTGTAAAAATACAAACTGCCAACATACTGAGCTAAATACATAATTCAGAGGGCAAAGGTAGTGTGTTATGTATATGTGTGTGTGTGTATTTAAAAAATGTTTTTTAATTTACAAAAGTTGCACTATAGTGTCTATTTAGATTGCCTAATGTAAATAATGCACCAGGATTTAATATTTTCCAAAACACATCTAGCCCCAGAATAATGCTCAGTGTCTGCCCTCACTGGGACTCATGTCCAGACTCCTGGGCTTGACATTTACTCCCTTCACCATCTGGCTCCAACTCATTTTTCTAGCTGCATCTACTAGTCTGTCTTGCTCTAACTGTGCAAGATGACTTTCCAGTTCCCTCAGACACTTTTCTTCCCCCTTGCCTTTGCTCAAGCCGACCCCACCCCCCACCCCCCACCCCCGCCAGCAATATCCTCCCTGGAATTTCTGGACCGTTGAAGGTACAGTCTTCCTTCCCAGCTGAAATGGCACTTGTCCATGCTCTTCTGGCGCTCCATGGAAACGCTGGGACAGAGTCTGTCATAAGTCTTTACTTGTACCTCACTTTCAGCCCTCGTTTGTTCTTGTGCATGTCCCCAAACCTATTCCTGTTTTTGGATCCTCAACACCTAGCGTAACACTCTACCAAAGTGCTCGTTTGGTAAATATGTGTTGAGTTGAATTGAGTAAGAGGCACTTGACAAGTATTAGTAGATTCAGTAAAGCGAATTATCCATGAGTCAGTATAAATTGTCGGTGGGTAAGTCTGCTTCATGTTTTGATGTCTCTTCAGGTGACAAATATCACAACAGACAGAAAAAAACACGACACAAAACGTTCCAGGAAATAATATGTTGGTGCTTTTCTCTTTTCCTCCCTACAGAGGAGTCTTTGTTTACAGTTTCGGGAGTGAGGCTAAAGCCAGAAATGTGTGACCTTTTGGTCTCCTACCGGAAAGGTCACCACCCAGCCCAGTTTAGCAAATGCTGGTGAAGAGAGGGAGTGATATCACCGACATCCTTTTCAGGTAAGTGGTCCCAGCAGTGAGTCTTCTTACGGACAGAACTGAAAATCCATTACGGCCGGTTGGAGAGAACATGGCTCATAGATTCTGAGCGCCTCTGTTCTGTGTCTGGCCCTTTATTCCCCCTCTAGGGACAGGTGGCCTCTCCTCTTTGTGCTGCAAAGGGGGGATGGTAATGTGCCTCACCTGTCTCTCTCACTCCCAGAGGCCTATTAAGGTTCCTAAGACAAAACTTAGTACATGTACAATAAAGTACCACAAGGCATGTTGCATTCCCTTAACTCTGTAGCTCTCTCCAGCAGCTGATGGGACAAATCAGAGGTCAAACCCATCCCCATTTGCTCAAGACAGAGGAATGTCCTGGGATATGGGACATTCAGGGCTAAAATTGGCACAGCCTGGGGTAAACCAGGACACTTGGTCACCACAGTGGTGCAGATGACTACCCAGTCTCCCTCAAATGCCAGAAAAGGCCCGCTTCAGGGCCTGGCCCCGTTCAGGAGATGGCTTTTGATGCCTGTGAGCATCTAGTCATCGCTGCTCCAGGCTTCTTAGGCTACCTCTGCACAGCTGGTCACAGAGAGTTCTCTCATTCCGGGTGAGTTCAGAGAACAACAAGGACCCAATGGGGAGCCATCTGCAATGTCTCAGACACAGCTACTCTCCTCGGTCCGCCCAACATGACCCAGCCTTCCAAGGTAGTCTTAAGGAGGAAGGGTGCTATGGAGAATTTTTCTGAAACTAGCATACCCTAAAAGAAGTTCTGGTTGGCCCCGGAAGCCAGGTGGGACAACCCCAAAAGCCATTGTAAGTATAGACACCCCCAGATATTTTAAGAGCACTTCCCAAACTTGGCCTTCCCAGTGGGGAGAGGGGACAGTAATCCAGACAGAGGAATCACGGTGGTTCCCACACACAAAGCCAGCCAGCCAGTGGGCCCTGTAAGTGGCCCAGGCTCTATCCCGAGCCATGAAATTTGACCACCCCTTAGGCAACCACAGCCAAACTTCCTGACAGAACTTTTGAGGCCTGGATGGTAACCAGGGACATGCCCCCCACACCTGCCCCCTCGTAACCTTATTTACATGGCAGGATTCAGCTCTTTGCCTGGAGCTCTCTCTTTGACTGTTGATATTTCAAGGTGTGTACCTATCAGAGATGTTCGTCTTCTGGATTTCCTAAGATCATTTTATTTAGAAATCTGGAGAGGTCCGGGAAGTTTAGAATTTTATAGCTGCTCCTTGGGGCATTGTATGCAATACCCAGGTTTGTATTTTGATAATACGCCATTGGAATCACAACAGGCGACACAATAATGTGGTATTTCCCAAGCACTGTATTTTCTAAAGCAGAGATTTTACTGGGTAATGATGTCCTTTTAAACCATCTAGTTATGAGACTACGATGTGCCTTCATCACATTCTATAAAGGGAGGATTTGCCCTTCGTAAAATTATCGAAAGGGCGCCTGGGTGGCTCAGTGGGTTAAAGCCTCTGCCTTTGGCTCAGGTCATGATCCCAGGGAGCCCCAAATCAGGCTCTCTGCTCAGCGGGGAGCCTGCTTCCCCCACTCTCTCTGCCTGCCTCTCTGCCTACTTGTGATCTCTGTCTCTCTGTCAAATAAATAAATAAAATCTTTAAAAAAATTTATTGAAGACATTGATGGAAGTGGCCTCAGTTGGTGGTGTTCCATTAGCATTACTATTACTTCTAGTATTGTTATTACTTTATTTTACTAAGCAATCAGGAGATAGGGAGGTAACCCTGCCTCTCTGATCTTCAGTGACTTTCCACAAAGAATTATTACCTGTAGATATAAAATGGTCCCCATAGAAGGTCAATTAAATGCAGCATGTCAAACTCGGCTCCTGTGCCAGCAACTGAGAAAGGGAGGAGGCAGATTTTGCCTCTATTGGAGTCACTTCGTGATGTCCCTGGGCCCTTGGTATTAATGTAAGGAGATAAAACCCGTAGGAGAGGAACCACAATAGGGAAAATCTAGAGCAATTAAACTGTTTAATAAATGGCTTGGGATCAGCCAAATCTGGGTGTGCTGGAGTTAAGCAGACTAAAGGTAATCACATGGACACTTGGGGCCTGTAAATCTTTTCCACTAAATTGAATTTATGTTAAAATATTCACTTTCCAGGGGATTCAAAATGTAAATTGGGATATTAGGACTTGTAACTGACAGCAATGCCTCAAAACTAAAACTCTTATAAGATCCTCAAAATGTCAGTTTCAGGAATGGAAAAAGAAAGGTATACTGATGTCCATTATGGAGAAACAGAGGGGAACTAAACTTTACTGGGCACATATTGGGCACCGGGCACTTTACACATGTTATTTCAAAGCTTGGCATGTTTTGAACAATGGGGAATGGTACGGTACAAATGCAGTTTGTATATGTGGAGATCGCTTTTTATTATTTTTTTAAAGCCCCTTTGGTTCTTGTTGCTGGGACAAGATGCAGTCTCTGTTATAATTTATTATTACCTTTTCAATCTCTCTATATAATCCCATCAATAACTTTGCATTAAATGTATAGCAGGTTTTCCTTACTCAGTCTGACTCATATATTTTGATTTTATTTGTTCTTCATTTGCTTTCAGGGCTACAATACTGCTGTTTCCGTTTTAATTTGCTCTGACTTACTAAGAAGCTTCAAATCTAACTGCAGAATGGACCAGAGTTTTCATACCATCACCTGTGACCTGGAATATTGTGAATATGAAGTCTAAGGCCACGGACATGATACTTGAAGAAAAAGCAATGAATGATTATTGCTCTTTGTCATTTGCCAAAATTGGCCATTGATTGGCTCAGAAATTAGACAACAGACTGAAATAGTCTGAGAAGAGGATTTCTGAATGATTTCATCTATTTTGTGATTTGAATGAGAGATCCCTGGGCCAGAAGGACCGCAGGCCAGATGAAAGGCTAATTGATTAAAAGAATCTGGAGACAGAGCTGGGGCTTACAGGGGCCTGTCCCTCCTGTGTTCACTTACAATTTCCCCCAACAAAAGGACTTCTGTAGCGAGGAGAGGATTAGTCTAAAGTTCAGAAAAGTCTCAGGGAAGATGGTTTCTTGGATAAAGTTGTCGACAAAAGGACCTGCTGAAAACTCTTTGTTAAGATTTCCTAGAGGGCGCTTCTGGATTATCAAACTGGATTATCAAACCACATTACTACCCCAGTCTTGCTAGATTTTAGGAGTTTGGATTGAACCCCTGGTTAGATTTCAATTTTTGGCTGTCTCCTTCTACTGAATCCCAGTTATCGGTGATGATAGCAGAAGCGAGGAGGAACCTAAGCTCTGATTCGATGGTGGAGAGACACTGAATAGATAGATCGGAACAAAGAGTTCCAAAGATGTAATTCAAGCCCCACTGCACCATCAGACACACATGCGTGTGCGCACACACAACCCTCAAATAAAATGAGAGATCGGTCTCAGCTAACACATGGATCGTTTTCCGCAACGACTCCTTCTAAAAGAAGCCAGGGAAACTCAAATTACTCACCTAGGGATCGGATCATCCACTCAGGAAATGTAGTAGCCTAGAAACCAGACATTTCTCTATATCCTTTAGAAGAACAAGGAAGAGATAATTAAGAAAGAATTAAAAAGTAATACCAACGTACCCAAAGTCTGAGATGGGAAGAGGAAAATGCATACAAATAGCCCAAAGGAATCTACCTTAGTATTGGATTTTAGTAAGGTATTTGACCAAACTTTTCCAAACACACCTGAAAGATGGAACTGTGTGGGCTGGATTATGGAGCAAAGATATGTGTGCAGTGAATGTGCTTTTTCAACCTAGAGAAAAGCCAATTGTGGTAAAGTCTTAAGCCCCATTCTACAAAGATTAATACATATTTGTATTAATCACTTGAATAAAATCAGAGAAAGTACACAGTTTATTCATATAATTCTTTGAAGTATTATTTATTTATTACTTCCATTTTATAAAAGAGGAAGCTGAGACTCAAAGAAGTTACATAACTCGTCCATGGTGGTAAATCTGAGTTGAGGTACAGACCTCTTGTCTGACTGTCTCCAATGTGTATGATCTTTCCAGAAATCGCATACCTATCAGATCTGTAGAATACATGGTTCTTGAAGATGCAGCTGATATTTAACATTGGATCATGATTTGGAAGATTGAGACCTTGTTAAAACCTAACACCTAAAGGCACCTGGGTGGCTCAGTTGGAGCTTGCTCTCTCCCTCTGCCCCTCCCCCTGCTCATGCTGTGTATCTCTCTCAAATAAATGAATAAAGTCTCTTTTTTTTTAAGATTTTTAATTTTTATTTTATTTATTTATTTGACAGAGAGAGAGATCACAAGTAGGAAGAGAGGCAGGCAGAGAGAGAGATGGAAGCAGGCTCCCCGGTGAGCAGAGAGCCCGATGCGGGACTTGATCCCAGGACCCTGAAATCATGACCCGAGCCGAAGGCAGTGGCTTAACCCACTGAGCCACCAAGGCACCCAATAAAATCTTTTTTAAAATTAAATTTTTTTAAAAAGCTAATGCATATGTATCACTCTATACCTATTATGATGGCCAAGTTCCAGAACACTGACAAAACCAAATGCTGACAGGGATGTGGAGCAACAGGAACTCTCACTCATTGCTGGTAAGAAGGCAAAATGTTACAGCCACATTGGAAGATAGGTTGGCAGTTTCTTACAAAACTAAACATACTCTATCCATATGATCCTGCGATCATGCTCCTTGGTATTTACACAAAGGAATTGAAAACATGTCCGCACAGAAACACACACACAGGTGTTTATTCATAATTGCCAAAACTGGGACACAACCACAATGTTCTCCAGTGACAGAGTAGATAAATAAACTGTGATACATCCACACAACAGATTATTCAGGAAAAAAAAAAAAAGAAAGCTATGAAGGAGACTTAAATAAATATTACTAAGTGAAAGAAGCCAATTGAAAAGA